AAATTTGCTTAAATCCAAAGAAATTTAGTCATTGGAATAGACTAACCGATTAACTTAAATAATGTTTGAAGTAAGAAATACGATTGTTTCAAATAATATGTTTTTACATGAGAGAGAAGATTTTTTTAAAAGAATTTCATTATTTCAATAAAAATATTAAAATTTATATTTATATATTAAATTTATTTTATCTTTATCTATAGTTTTTATCTTTATGAGAAATGAAATTCTATTCCGCGCCTATCTAGCTGCGATACCGCATACTACTCGCAAGTTGTTTCAAAAGATGTTTTATTTCATCGAATAATTATTTCATTGTATCATATTTTTTTAATGAACAATCATACTTTTCGTTTCTATTAAATATAATAACATTATTGCAGTATATATTTCTTTAAATATAAATAATTGTGTTGAAAAAATATTTATTTTTTTATAAGTACCCTATTTATTATTCTTATAATTTTGGAGATATAAATTTAAACAAATATTTATTAAAATATTAAGAATAGATTTTAAGAATAAAATTAAAATTAAAAGGCCTCGGTATTTTAAAAAGTCATTTGTTACATTTTAATAACTATTACACTGTAATATACTAAATCTGAATTTGATTCGAGTAAACTCTTTAACAAGAAGTCATTTTCTAATTTCAATTTTAATTTAATTTAGTTTATAATCAAATGGGAAAGTTTTATATTCTAAACATTATTTATTTAACTTAAGTGAATTTAATTTTAGAAAATGTATTATCTAAAATTAAGAAAATTTTTTTCTCAATGTAAGATGAGTGAAAAAGAGACGATATCCTGATTTTACAAGTGGATTGCATAATAAAAAGTAATATTATAATTTACACAAAGTTTGTCTCGGAATATGACATTTGTTAGATCATTCTTTCCATCATTTCTTTTCAGAATCGCTCGGTACTGGGTCGGCGACCACGAAGCCGAAGAGACGAGCGTATTTGCTAAAGAGGAAAGCTCTCACAACGGGCTTCTTCGACAACAAAGGAAAAGACGAGAAGGAAAAAGGTAAGTACAACGTACCGATATCTATTATTCCACCGGTTATAGCGGTATATTTTTATCGCATTGAGAAATAATTAAGAATCGTGAATAAATGATGCCGTTATTCATATCAGCGATTATATTTATCTCCTTCAATTAAAGATCTTTTCACGAACGAACGAGATATAATTCGAATATCTGTGCAATTTATTTATAAAATAATAACCTCAGAGACAAAGAATCGCGGTCATTAGGTCGCGATAGGACAAATTATGAGTTCAACGAAACATTGTGCCCGGTCAACGATAAGAATCTTTTAATACTTGCTGTGCAAGAGAAATTCGTAAGTAGAACGTTTAAAATTAAAATAATTTTTTATATGACTATTACTAATATGAACTAAATTCAAGCAAAAGAACAAGCCGTGAGGACTACTTACTTGAATTAGACAAATTGATAGCAACTTCTGTAGAGTTTTTTTTATAATATAATCTGATAATTTCTAGTTATTAATTTATAGTTATAGTATATTAATTTATAAGTTGATAAAATATAAACAAATTATAAATAATTTTTAATTGAATTCAATAAATATAATAATTGTAATGTATCATATACATTACATGTACAAAATTATGTACAAAATTCTTAATATTGCTTAATATTGCTTGTAATATGAAGTATAATATTTATAAAATACTAAGTGTAAACAAATAATAATCTATAAAATAATAATCTAAAAATTATTACAATATTATTAAAAAAACTGGTTAACGGTGTGATTGTATTGACCATGCTCAGAAAAAAGAATAAAAAAAAGAATGAAGAAAGAACAGTAGCAAAAGAGAGAAAGAGTTTTTTCATGTTTTTCTTTATTATATAATAATATATGATTAATTTCTTTTTTTATTTTTTCTTGCTATGCTAATTATCGGAATTTATTTCTGAAATAATTCAAAACTACTTCGAACTAATTCTACGTGGTAGGTTTCCTCTCTTTTTCATTCTTTCCAATATTTAAAATAATTTTTTGGAATTATATTTTTTCCTTTGCGAAGATTGTTTTCTTTGTACGATTCGCAATTTTCAACATAGAAATATGAAACGCGTGAATTATTCTAGTCATAGAACGAGATTTATGAAATTTACAAAACGAAATTGTTACAAATGAATTAAACAAAAATTTATCAGCCGAATCAATAACTAAGTACGACATAATTTAATATATAGAAAATGTATATTTAGCAAGTGTATTTTATGGTGCAATTATTTGTTGTAGAGAATAACTAGTTCAGTTATTTTTAGACAGACGTAATAGCACTCACTAAAGTTCAGAGGAGTGCTCTATGATTTGACTACGTTTACGACATTTCTCGCGTACGTATATGTATATTTATACGTATGATGTATATTTTAACCTACATGGAAGAAAGATAAATATTATAAATTTCTAATCTATTTTTAGTCGATCATTTGTAGTTCTACTTTCTCAAATTCCATTGCTTTATCCATTGCAAAGAATAACTGAAGTAAATCTCTCTCACATTTACTAAATATGTTTGTTGCTATTATTTTAGTCGAATGAAAATATTCTTAATGATTGTTGCATAAATAATAAAAAAAGAAAAAAAACAAACGGCAAAAGAATAGCTCCAAAGGTAGCTCTTGAAGATCTTGTTATTATTTCAGAAATGTGACAAAGATATTATATCAGAAAAATCATACGATAAAAATGTGAAAAATTCTCCATAGGGAAATTATCTTCGAAGGGCAAGCACAGATTATATCATTCGTAAGTCTTCTATAGTTTTTACTTGACTTGAACATATTTGTCGCATATCAAGATAATCTTTTTTGTTGAGTATTCTCATATCGACAAAAGATGAGAGAATTGCAATTTTCTGCAGCGTTATTTGTAAATGCGCTTCATGCATCCCCTGCATGCCCCATTAGTGTGTTCACTGCTCTCATTCCGTCTCATTTCAGTGAACTAATTATGCATCCTGTGAATATACTATTACATTTCCGGCATTGTTTGTACTGCACTTTGTATCGTTTGTGACATTTCAAATAAAGATTCCCCACGTTTATATTAATGGCAACATATGAGTCTCAAACGTATAATACGTGCGATATGTAGCATTTTGACATATCTTATAAACATTTTAAACATATGTGTGTGTGGCGCGCACGCGCACACACACACACACACACACACACACACACACACACCACACACACATATATATATATATATATATATATTATATTGTAACTTATTGTTAGAATTATCAATTTTATTATTATATATTATTATAGAACACGATTTCAAAAAGAAAATACAAAGTTTTGTGCGACTGATGTGAGTACATAATTTCTTGTTCAGATAATTATATAAATTGTTTTTATTTGCAAAAAACTAAAAACTAAAAACAATAAGAGATAAACAAAATAATAATAAATTATATAAAGAATTAATTTTGAAATGGACTCGTAAAAATGCACAATGTATTTTTATTCTTATAATATTTTTGGGAATTATTCGTATTTTTCCTCGACATTAAATTAAAAAGAAGAAATTATTCTTATAATTTTTATAATCAGATAATCGGAGCGAAAAACGTATCTACTTAGCTATGTGCAAGCGACAAGGGGCGGGCGCATTAGCTTCGGCCGGCCAAGTTGATACGAGACACAATTTCGCCGGCTAAAATTAACCACAGAGTGCTCGGTAGCGGTACATATTTCCGCATATATCAGGTTTATTTGTGGTTCGCGCGCGCGCGCGCGCGCGCGCGTTGAGTACAAGTGCCCGCCGTGCGTACGGACACCGCCAGACGTCAATCGCGCGGGAGTCTCTCTCTTTGTCGGCAAAGCGAAGTCGCTCGCACTCTTTAATGCATTATTCGCGTGTGTGTCCTCCTCAGGCGATTTATATTTATTTACGCTGCACGAGATATAAGCCGAGTGAACTGGTATCTCAGAAATATAAGTATATTATCTCTCAAGTATAAGAATGCAATAGATATTTATTTGCTTTTGAAATAAATGACATTTCTTTTAGAATACCAATAAATGACTTTCTTAGAGAAAATT